GCTCACTTGCAGTTCACCCAGCGCCGTGTCAAAAACATCGGTCATTGGCACACTAACCGTCTGAGTTTTGAATTCGTATAATGCATGCTGCTGAGGGCCAACAATTTGTCGCTCGAACTCGTCTAATGCCTCATCTACAAAAATCGTTTCAACGGTGATGTGATCACTCGCTATTTGCTAATTGCTGTCAGTAGATATGACGCATAATCCCAAATTTTCCTACCTATGGTGTCATGCTGGATCAAAGGACGAACATTTGCAACTTCAGGATCTGGTAGATTCCAGCTCAGCCACTCCTCCACTTTTGACACGATTTCTGGCCAGAAAGAGCATTCCTAGAACGACTTCGTTGTGCGAAATATCGCTACTGACAACATCTCACACGCGACAGCATCTCACACACCTGTACCAATTTCTGAACTCCTCGAGCATTCGGAGAAGATTTCATTGCTTGTTCAACAGCCAATGCCAAATGAATATGATGCGTTCGGAGTGAGAACAAGTCCACTTTCTTCAAAACGCACCTGGGATCAACACCATAGCGTATAATTTCCGGAAGGTCCAATGTCTGAAACAGCTGTTTAAAATAAAGTGTAATATATTGTTCCCAGATCACACAGATACGACAGTATCTGTGTAATTTGGGAAGGTTGTACCCCAAGGGGCAGGGCACGTCCTACGCTGGGTGAACCCAGTGAACCCAACAACGGTCTAAGATCGTAAGAGGGGGTCGTATCAACGCTCGGTCGAAAGACTTCATCTCATCAATTTTTATTATTATCACTCTTTCCCCGCTCAACATAATTTTGAGGAAGTTCGATGAATCAGGTAGGTTTTGAGAGGGGGCCGTACTGAAGAAGGAAGTTTGGGAGTGTCGTTCTTTAAAAAAGTTCTCCAATGACGGAACCGTCCAGGTAATAGTAACAAATAAGAGATGCATTACTCAAAGTTATGAGGGGCACAACCAAAACTACTTACTGTCAACTATGGTGGGACTAATTTGACCTTTCTTTAACACAAAAAGATCTCTTTCGAGACAGCAGACAGGGTGACCCAGTCGTGCAATAATTCTGCCATGCATCTTAATCTTGGAGGAGCCCTGATCCAGAGTTGCCAAAAAAAGCACAAAAAAAGATCCGTCTCGAGACAGCAGATGAGTTGGCAACTCTGGACCTCCTTCGAGATTCCTTCGAGACTGAGACACAGGGCACAATCATCTCAGTCACCTCACGTAACACCCAACATAGTGAAGTGGTAAGGCAATACAGTAAAAAAAACATGTCGCATGAATAAATTCAATAAAACAGAGCCTCTCCAGATAGCATTGTACTCCTGAGGAGCGCTGTTTGGCGACTGGGAGAGGGGAAATTTTGCTTCTTCCTATCGACATGCCGAGCCATCAAGTGGAGGCCTTCGAAACCTTGTGAATCTACGAAATGTTGCTAGCCAAAGTTTGTAGGGATCACCGGTCAACTCTCACTCTTGCAGAGCACAGATTACGGTATAAATGCCGTTTGCCGTGGTGGCTCGACGAGTTTTCTTCAGCTTCACAAGAGTTCACAGGTTTCACCAGAATGAGACTTGTAAAACACAGCTAGTGAAGTGCGAAATTTCCCTCCCATTTCGCCCAAAGGAGTACCCGAAATGAGCAGAAAATATTTTCAAAACCCTATGCATCGACATACCTTGAACAAATACGCAATAGCAGGAGATTCGCTTTGGATAGAAGAATAAAGAATGAAAGAAACAATTCGTTGCAGGAATCCATGAAATATTGAACAACGCGGGTGACACCAAACTAATGAGAAGAGCTAAAATTGAGATATTACATCACAGTTAAGTATCATACACATTCAACAATGACGACTGTACCTTTTTTATATCGCTTTTTCCAAACTCTTCCACGAGAGTGGTATGAGTTTCCAAATGATTCGTATCACACAGTTCTATTATAACCCGGAGAATATACGACCAAATTTCATCTTCGCGACCCGAATTGGACTAAATGAAGAATACCATAAAATTATTGAGGGTTAAATATGCATCAAATCGTCAGACGTACCTCAAGATCTTCAATAATTAGTTGAATCATCTCCGAAACTCTGGCAGACGCAATTTTTTCGACTGTTCGCTCAGAGTCGGGGCACCACAACTTGAAATGGCACACTTTTACTCACTCAAATACGTGCTCTATTCGCCAAAAAGGAGAAATACCTACTCTTTCAGCTCCTTCCTTGGCGACTTCACTCGATACACCATCCATGACTGCTGAAGGGTTCCCACCCACCCAAGGTATCTCAGCATTAAACTCCTTATATAAGGTGTGGCTCGGCCGGAAGAGTATATGATTTGAACTCAAAAGGGATATGAGAATCTCGCACACATTCCGTGTCACGGATGTCGAAAGAATGCCATTTTGACTTCGCTAAACGAAAAATGACTTTTAATATATTGGGCTGAGTTTATGGTATTATCAAGTGATACGGTTTTCCATACTGGAAATAGTAACACAATCAAAAAAGAATTCACCGCAAGCATTTTGTCTAAAAGTTCCCGTACGAGACTCTCCGATTGTAATTCATCATTCAGGACATCGCTTTTAATATCAAGTGCATACATTTGATCCCTTGTATTCCTTAAATACTGATATCAGAGAAGAATCACTGTTCAATAAGTTTGCCTGTTTTCCAAAAAATGCTTCGAAAAATAAAGAAACGTAGGAAAGAAAAGCAAGAATTACCGAACAAGGTTTGAAAATACTTCCATGACATTTTCATGAACACAAACGGGTTGATCCGGTACAAGTTGCTTTACAAGCTTGTTGCAGAGTCCCTTTTCAACGTACCACTGAAAACTTCATTCTTTTATTGTACCCGTGATCGCACATTAAGGGAAGTGGCGTTCAGTTACTAGCCTGTAGTAGTTGACTGGGGAGGAAACTCCAGGAAAGAGGAAGCAAGTAAAAGTCGTAGAGCACACCCCAAGTGAGGAGCCCTGGCAGCCACACTCTCCGGACCTGCTCGCTTTATGCCAGCAAAGCGATATCCTGCCTATGGCCCGCTAATCTTTCTTCGCGTCATTCAATGCTCACACCATTCAAAGAGAGAAAAGAAAAACACGGCGTTAAAAGTGAACTTGTGACAGAAAATAGTCTTCAAGTGGATGAACAACTAGGAAGAGGTCGGAACTGCCACCTATGAGGCTGCAGCGCCTTTGTTACTTACTACGGGGCCACGAAAGCGGGATATTCCAGGAGAGCGCGGGCCAGAGTACGCAAGGCAGCACGCACAACTACTTGAACGCGGGGATTGTCTTTAAAGTGAACTAGCACTGTACAGCAACCTTAACTCAAATGATGCGCCACCTTACTGGTATAACATGGAATTGATTACACTATCGCGATATGGTGAAAAATTTGGATTGCTGCAACTAGTGGTTGCGCAGTTACAGCCACTGAATTCAAGAAGTACAAGCTTATTCAGAAAGAAGTAAGGTCCTATCAATGATATCGATAATCATCAGTTTAGCAGAAAATACTGGGAAATTTCAAAATAAAAAGACAGCCAGTACATCTGCATGATTCTAACGTTTGGGACTCACCAGTTTTATCTTCAAAAAGTCCTCTGCTACTTGAGGTATCCACACAATATTCTGCAACAACTCGCTCACAGCACCCATTCGCAAATTGGCCGCACATTTAGAAATAAAATCAGACGATGAGAGTATTTCCAAAGCCTTAACATGATCAATTCCTTTTGAATACAGTTAATAGTAAAATTGGAGAAACACGAAACTGACCTTATCAACTGAACGATGGAACAAATGTTGAACAATCCTCATATAAAATCCACACAACAAATGATTCGGTGGAGACTCATCATCGAAAAACTCCCTCACAGCTTTCAATGCATCTTCACACTTAAACATGATTGTGAATTTTGACCAGAGATGGAATCTTTCACGAAGATATTTCTACATACCTGGAGAAAAGCGTTCGTAATCTCGTTATTGTTGCGCACTGTGAGAATTTCCGAGCATGCATTGGGGAGCCTAAAAAGTTAGCACGCTCCATGAAACCTCATCAATGAACGAAGGATAAAGCTAAACTTTGGTGAGGTGCGAAGGGTTCACTCAGTACAGCAACCGCAAACACTTGCACCTATTTCATGCCAGGTGGGTGTCTTCAGGCGCATCTCTTTTTGTGTCGTAGGTAGCGTTCATAGTTCGCAACAGTGAGAATGCGTCCGTGTTTTAAGCGTACGCCAGCGTTTCCAGCGCTTTCACTATGCGCTTTTAGTCGACGGACTCAAACGTCTCCGGGGCCCAACGGTGGCGTGTGAAGAACTAATAGCGAATTGAACAAACAATAATAGTAACCAACTTAAAGATTGCGATTGCATATATTGGCTACTTGCGTTCAGTCGCTAGATGACTCTCCAGAGATGAGAAAAAGCATGGCGAACGCTCTAAGTAAGGAGAATGGTCGCAACGTCATTAACGCAACGTCTCTTATGTTGTCGCTACGTCTCTTACCAGCCCCTATTTGTTATCCCTTTTTGTCATCCACCATTGATGTATATTACATCATCATATCCAGGTGTGTCATAGGTTGTATTGGTATCATACGTGTATCCCCATTACACCCTCTAAATCACTTGCTGGCACCAACGCCTGGTTTATGCTGTGACCAGCGCTGTGGGTGGGGCGACTTTACCTTTGCAACGCTCCTTATCAGATCTTATCAGCAGCTTACAGATCTTGCTACCCACCTAATGTTCCTGTTCCACACCCTATGTCAAATGTTGGAACTGGAACGCCCCATTGTTGTTGTCACCCAAGCTGTGTTAGCAACTCTCCTTTTCTGTAGCCTCTTATCGGACCTTATCAGTGCGATAACGCTTTGACACCCACCAATACTGTTCTCGTCCCACTTCCTATATCACACTTTGGAACTGACTCACTGCAGTAACTGACCCTAGCTCTTCAAGTGGCTCTTCAGGTAGGACCGAACTTCCGGACAGAGAACCTGGCACACACAGCAAGTTTAACGCACGATCTTTAACACATACAATCATGTAATATAACACGTTTATTTTACAACCACCCAACTGCGGACGTTACGATGCTCGAGCACATCATGAACAAGGACCATTCTGCCCTCATATTCATCTAGAAAGGCATTTGTCTGAGGCCAA